CAGGGAGGAGGTCACATGTAGATCCTTGTAATGGGTTCCCCCTTTCCACCCCACACTCCCTCTACCCTCCCGGTATCGCCATTTAGTATTTTGATATTTATAAATATCTCAGACTTAATATATTTGAGCAACTGGATATTATTTTGCTTGCTCTTCCTACCTTATTTTTCTTGGGCCAATCAAGTTAGAGAAGGAATTAGAATAGTATGTTTGCTTTTTATGTTCACTAAAGAAAACTATACATGATCTTATAGGTATTTGCATGTTGCTGACTATTCTTGAGGAACAAGCCATGGATTCTCTACTGTTGGGTTCAGACAAACAAAATGATTTTATGCAATCAATACTTCACACTATGGAGAGACAATCTGATGGTAAACTTTCTTTGCTAAATAAATGTTAATACTTTGTACACTTTTGAATTTCTTGGGTCACTGCAGGAATGTAGATTTGTGGTGTGGAGAATAACATTAGAATTGTTAATCTTTTACAGTTTTAGGTCATACCCTGTTTCCCTGAAAGTAAGATACCCCCGAAAATAAGACCTAGCTACAGCTTTGCCTCTCGCTGAAATATAAGGCATCCCCCCGAAAATAAGGCCCCCCAAAGCTACCGTAACTCTGGACTCGACTGTAGCGACAGGTGCCACCGCGCAGCTCACTGTTGACCACAGCGCAGCCAGAGCATACAGGAAGTGCGAGGTCTCTTTTAATAAAACAATAAGTGTATACCGTATTCTTTTTCTTAGAAAAATAAGACATTCCCTCAAAATAAGACCTAGCGCATCTTTGGGAGCAAAAATTAATATAAGACACTGTCTTATTTTTGGGGAAAATGGTAGACTCAGAATTTCACATGTAAAATACCTTTAGGGTTTAATAGAACACTTTTCCTTTTATAGAAGAATGGACTTAAGCTCAGGAAAATAGCACATTTGTTTCCTGGTGAAAATCCCAGCTATTGGTAGAATCAAGATGACAGCTTTGGAGAGATAAATGTTACATGGTAGTTAAAATTATGGAGCTTTCCTTGTTGCACCGCCTCCGTTTTCTGCGTGGTTCATTTCTATGTTCTCTAGGATTGTACTCTTCACTATGGTAACCACTAGCCACATGTGCCTAGTAACTGTTGTATTGCATACACAAGATAAGAACATTTTAATGTTGCAGAAAGTTCTCTTGGACAACACTGTGCCATGTAGTTTTAAAAATGGGGTCTAAAATGTGTAACCTTGTTTACTGCTTGAACCCAACTTTCATTTACTGATTATTAAGCTGATGAAGGAGGTTATGTATGTTATTTCTAATCTTTTTAAATGAAGGAATGAATCAGCAAAGATGAACCGTACCAAATCCCTTGAAAAATTATTTTTCTTTCTCACTTCATTTATTTTCAAGCAATTTGAATGTTGCTATGAACTTAATGGTAGCAGATTCTAAAAGAAACAAACTAATGTTACTATATTTGCTTTATTTGGGTAGGGTATGTTCTTGCTAGATTATTCCAGGTAAAAGCTATTAACTAATTAATTTGCCAGCACTTACTATTTATTTATTATGTGTGTCTTGCACATATACTTCTGTCTTTATGTAAATTCAGTTCCCTGAACTATGAAAATATAAATTTACCTCTTTAAGAAATCTTTCATAATTGTTTTCACCTAGCTGACTTACTTATTAAAGATTTTACTGTGTTAGTTCTAGTGGATACTACAAAAATATATGAGGAAGTATACATAAATGACTGATAATGCTAACCTCAAATATCGGGTCCAAGCCTTAGAAGGATTGAGCTTAATTAGTACCCACTTCAAGTGGAACAGAGAAAGAAAAATTTAGGAAGCCAGGAAATGGCAACAAAGGCTGTTTGGCACATGCTCAACTCCTTTAAATTCCCAAAAAACATCATAATTTCTCTAGTAATATTAATCATGTATTACATGCAAGTGGGCTGTAATTTTTAGGCTACATGACAAGCCACAGAAAGCAATAGAATATAGTACATAAAAAGTTCTCTATAATATGTTACATTGACATCTTTCCAGCTGGCTGCCTCTTATTAGTCTTATACAATCTCCAGGACAGCTGGAGGGTGAAATCTACCTTAAGCAGGGTTTTAAATAGTAATTGAGATTTCAAGCTGGATTGAACCCTTGGGAAGCAATGAAAGCGTACAATGATAAAATATATAAAACGCTTAACAGAATTGGTTAAACTCAAATATGACTGATTGAAAATCCAAATGACTGCAATCATGTTTACAAAATCAAAATGGCTTCTTTCAGTCATGTTCACAACTCTCCCCAAAGTAAAAAAGGCAGAGAATCCGAGAGTCCTGAGGAAAATTAGAACACAGGCTTTGGGGGGAGTAGACATTGTCAGTGACTGAGTGAGTTGGAGCTCATACCTCAGAGATTACTGTGGAAGATGCAATGCTAATGCAGAAGGAACTATTTAACCTGGACGTTAACAATAGGTAGGATTTTGACAGGCAGTTGTAATAGGGCATTGTAAGGCTTGTTTGGGAAAAGATAGTGATCTTTTTTTGGTTGTAGATTGGGTAAGGTTATAGGGGTGAAAAAAAAACTGGAAAGGAACAGTAGAGCAAGATCATATTAGTGCTTGACTGAAGACTTTGAATTTTCTTGCTAGACTTTTGATCCATTGTTCATTATTGTCTGTTTCATAGCCTGTGGGCGAGGTGTTGGGCTGCTAACTGCAAAGTTGATAGTTCAAACCTACTGGCAGCTCCTCCTGAGAAGGCTGAGGCTGTCATAGTCTCAGAATCCCTGTACTAGGTTTGCTGTGAGTCAGAATCCATTTGGAAGACATGGGTTTGGGTTGGGTTGGACTTTATCAATTTGAGTCAAACTTCTCCTATAGGCCTCTGACCTCTGCTTGACTCTCAGCCTGAGCAAGCCTTAAAATGTGGGATGTTCCCATTATCAATTGATCCTGCACACAGCGAGGGGGGCACTTCCTGTGAGGCTCCACTGATCATTTCCCCTTGCTTGTCCAATTTCTCCTTACAAACTTCTGCTAACATTTTGTCTACTCCTTCTATGTAAAAGAAACTTTTTTCTGCTGTATTTCTAGATGGAAGCCTGGTAGTGGTTTTAAGAGTCGGTGGTTTAAACCTACCAGCTGTTCTGAGGGAGTTGGATGAGGCTGTCTGCTCCATAAAGATTCAGAGCCGCAGAAACCCTGCATAGTAGTAGTTGACTAGATAGTGCTGGGTTTCTTAGCTATGCCGATTTCTTGAGAGTGGAATGTTCTCCCCATGACAGTAGTCTTCTCTTTCTGATTAAAGCCACTTCCTAAGTTTGGATTTGTTTTTACTTGAGCATTTGGGGATTTTTGAGTAGGGCAGAATCTTGCCACTGCTATCTGATAAAGAAGAGGGAAGGGTTTTAAGGTAAGAACTTGAGAATAAAAATTCTTGCCCTGGTAGTATCGTGGGTTACGTTTTAGGTTGATTTTCAGGCCAACAGTTTGGCTCCACCAGCTGTGGAGGCATTCTCCTGTAATTATTTACAGTTTTGGAAACCCACAGGGGCAGTTCTATTCCGTCATACAGGGACTCCGAGTCACAACTTGATGGCAGTGGATGTGAAAGTAGAAATCTTAAAGTCTTTTTGAGATATGAGTAGATGACGACTGGATTTGTGCTAGCCCACTAGCTAAGGGATTTAGTCCTTTACACTAGCCTCATGGCACACACAATGTGGAATTATACCATTTAAAAGTACCATTTCTTGTGTACCTCATAGGCTTTGTTGAAAGCTGTAAATATCATCTTTCTTTGTCTCTTTTCCTACACTTGTACTATTTATTGAAGTATAAAGTACTGGGGGGAATTGAGAAACAGAAAAGATTGTTTCAGGTGTGGCAAACGTTATATATGCCACATGTATATTGAGCCTAGATGGTCAATTTTTGTGGGGATTTTTTTGCCACTTAAAATTTTTAATAGAAAGATTACAGTGTTTCTTGAAGGAAAAAAAAAAGCACATGCAAACAAATTAACCCAACTTTTAATTTTGCCAGCTTTAAAAAACCTATGTTTCTACAGGTTGGCAGGTTGTATTTTCAATTACTTGCTGGTTTGCTTTCAGTTTTGGTGCTACGTAGGTATGGAGAATGTTTAGTTTCTTTTTCTGATTGTTTTGTAATTCAGCAATTACTCCATTATATTTCAGATGATAGTGTGGACCCTTTCTGGCCAGCATTACACTGTTTCATGGTGATTCTGGATCGCCTTGGATCTAAGGTTTGGGGTCAACTTATTGATCCTATTGAGGCATTTCAGACCATTATCAACAATGTGAGCTACAACAGAGAGATCCAAAACATACGGAAGAGCTCTGTGAAGTGAGTTCAGTGATTGCCAGGATTTAAAAACAATCTCTCTTATCAAATCTGTTGAAACTCAATAAGATTTTTGTCTTCGTTTCAATAATTTCTGTTTATTCTTATCATTTAAGGACCAAGTTAGAACCAGAGACATATTTGGATGATATGGTAACTTGTAGCCAGATTGTGTACAATTTCAATCCTGAAAAGACAAAAAAGGTAGAGAACATTTTGAAAATTCAGATGGTTTTCTGTTGTCTTTTTATTGTGTAGGTGATGTTATGTTTAACTCGTTGAATTCCTGATTTCATGATATAGGAATTAACTAAAAGGCCTCTGACTGAACAAATGTGATTGTGTGTAAGGGGAAAAGTAGGATTTGGGAAATGTAATCTTTAAGTGCAGTTAAGGAGGGTGGGAAATGCTAAAGGTTATGGGGAGATATGTCACATGCCTAGAAACCAAAGTCAGAAATGGAAAGGCCATCGTGCATGGAGGGTGTTGAAAATGGCTTTTCCATGAAATCTGAACCTTAATTCAACTTAGGTTTTTAGTTTCTTGGATGTATGCATATTAAAAATATATATATATGGTAGGCCAATATAGTAAAATTGAGAAATAACTTCTTTTTAAAAATTGCATATTAAAATCTGTCATAGGGTAAAATAAATTTATTGTATGGTGGTTTTTAAAATCTGAATGTCAGTATTTCATTCATTTTAGGATTCAGGTTGGCGATCGGCCATTTGCCCAGATTATTGTCCTAACATGTATGAAGAAATGGAAACGTTAGCCAGTGTGCTCCAGTCGGATATTGGTCAAGACATGCGTGTTCACAACAGCACATTTCTGTGGTTCATTCCTTTTGTTCAGTCCCTCATGGATCTTAAGGATTTGGGTGTGGCGTATATAGTAGAGGTTATTCATCACCTGTATTCTGAAGTCAAAGATGTTCTCAACCAAAGAAATGCTATATGTGACAAAGTCACCGAGTTTTTTCTTCTAATTTTGGTGTCAGTGATTGAACTGCATAGAAATAGAAAATGTTTACATTTGCTGTGGGTCAGTTCCCAGCAATGGGTTGAAGCTGTTGTAAAATGTGCCAAGCTGCCCACCATTGCATTTGCACGGAGTTCTGAGAAGTCATCTGGAAATTGTACCAAAGGAACGGCAATAGTATCATCTTTGTCACTGCATTCAATGCCATCTAACTCTGTACAACTTGCTTGTGTACAACTGATTAGAAGTCTCCTTAAAGAAGGTTACCAACTTGGGCAACAAACTCTTTGTAAACGATTCTGGGATAAGCTCAATTTATTCTTGCGAGGAAATTTATCTCTAGGCTGGCAATTGACTAGTCAGGAAACCCATGAGTTACAAACTTGTCTAAAGCAAATTATTAGAAACATAAAAGTCAAAGTACCTCCATGCAGCCCTTTGATGGATATGAATCTTGCATGTAAAACTCCTACATCTTATCACAAAGAAGAATTTGAACACATGAACATGAAGACTGAAAAAAAGGATATGCACTATCTGGAAAACACGAGCCCAACTTTTCCTAAAGACTCAGTGAAAGTTGACACTTACCAAGTGCAAGAAAATGTATTGATCAAAGCAAGTAACACTGTGGCAGAGGACAATGAGCAAAATTACCTAAAGAATTCAATAATAAAAGATAATCGCTCAGTTGAATCTTGTTTAAAATACAGTAAAAGCTTTTGTACTGAAAGAGCTCATGATCAAGTTAAAATAAATACAAGAAAGCAGAAGTCTGTAAAAGAGAAGACTTCGCATACACCACAGAGTTGTACTTTAAGAAATGGTTCAGAAAGGCAATGTGACAGAGGAGTAATACAATCAACATGTAAGTTGACTGATCCTAGCATTGATCCCCTGGAAAAACTGTCCACATCAAGTGAGGCTTTCACTTTAAAGGATAATACTTCCGGTAAATCTTCAAAACCCAAAACCAGAGCACAAAAAGACGAAATCTGTGCTAAGTTATCTCATGTAATAAAGAAGCAATGCCGGAAAAGTACTGTGGTCAATAATGTGATCAAGTTAGAAGAAAACCTGATTGTATCTAACTTTGAACGATCTTATTCTAGGAAAGATACAAGAGGACAGAAAGAGGATGGCTTCATACACAATGTATCATTAGACTCTGATGATATTCTGAATGATGATGAAAGTGGAGACCAAAAATCTCAAAATAGTGTATTGCTGAAAAAGAAACAGCTAAAGAACGAAAAATTAGATATGATCAATTCCCATGAAAACAACTGTAAGATACAGGAAAGTCATGGTAAAGATTTGATCTCATTTACAGAAGTAACTAATACTGTAGTGAAGACAACGTCATCCTTTAAAGATACTGTGACTATACTTGAAACAAAGGGTAAGGAAATGAGTAAGCGTACTGGTCAAGTTTCTTCTTACTTGATTAGGGAAGGCACCTGTGACATCAGGCCTAAGCCTGAAACCTTAACAGATTCTCAGGTAGACAGAGACCTCCTTAAATTGTCTTTAATAGCTCAAGCCAGTGTAACTAAGTTTCCATCTGATACAACTTCAAAAAAAGGCGCATCCCAGTTACAAAGAATAGTAAAAGATGATAGATGTAACCAAAATCAGGGATCTTCTTTTGTCAAGGAATCTTGTCATGGACAGATTATTGTCATTTCAGATTCCGATGATGATGATGATGATGATGATGATGGCAGTGAGAGAGTTCTGGGTGTTGAGAAATACATAAATAAAGACAACAAGATATGCATTGATAAGCAAAGTCCAGCGCAGCATGCTTCAAGTGTAGATACTAATGTGAAGACGAAGCTAATTAAGGAAGAAGGAACACTATTTGAGGAATCTGAGTCTCAGATTTTTGAGTTTGAAAGTCAACATGAGGTATTTTCAGTTTGGCAAGATCATAAATCAAATGACAAGCATTCATTTCAAGAAGATGGGGAAAAATCAGGTTTGACCCATATAGCTGATACCACAAACGATTGGGGTTATGATCCAGATGATATATCAGAAGAGGTTACTAAAGAAATTTCAGAGGGTGTTGAAGGACACGCAGAACCACAGAAAAGTAGTATTTCTGTTGAGGAATTTTGTGAGATTGAAGTAAAATCTAAGAGAAAACGGGTTGACAAGCGTATGGTTGGAGATGCTGTAAAACCTTCATCTTCCATCAAAAATGACCAGTCTGCTAATGAGAAAGAGCTTAAAGAGACTAGTTTTAAAAGTACAAATAAAAGGACTACAATTCCCCGTTCAAGTATTCCGAAAGATGTTCCGGTTCCACAAAAGAAGCCCTCTCCAAAGCACCGTGCTTGCTCAAAACCCATCAGGAAAGCCCCACTTTCTAAACCTAAGAAGACCCATTCAGATGCGAAAAAGGGGCAGAGTAAAAGTTCCAGTTACATAAGTTGTAGGACAACTCCTGCTATAGTGCCACCAAAGAAATTTCGCCCGTGTCCAGAACCAACTTCAACAGTAGAAAAACTTGGTCTGAAGAAGGCGCCGCGAAAGGCATTTGAATTGTCCCAGAGATCTTTAGATAGTTTGAATCAGTTACGTGATCATGGCAAAAGTGTTGGAGAAGTTGATACCCGAAAAAGGACTAAATTAATTTCTCCTCAGACTCTCTCTGTTAAAAATAATAAGAAATTACTGACAAGTCAGGATCTTCACTTGCGAAGGCAGGTGAGACCTGAATTGCAACAAAGTAAACAAGGACTTCGTGGTAGAGAGACTACAGAGGCAGGCTCACGTGTGGCATCAAATTCTGACACCACTACACCAGAATCTGGCCGATTAGATCGTAGTCATAAAGGAGTAATTGCTAACAACAACAGAAAACAATTAATAAAATGCAATTCTTCTGAACCAGAAACCAGCGCAGCAAAATATATTTCTCAGGTCGCTGCTGTTAGCCTTTTGAACCCATGTGATTCTATAGTGTTAAATGAAAGAATACCAACAAGTGCTTCAGAGAGCTCTTCTTCAGGTGGAAATTATCTCATAGGACATCATTCAGAAGTGGCCGCTTTCAAAGAGGGAGTGTCTGAATTTAACAGTGATATAGAGGAAGATAACTTATTTTTAACTCAGAATGATCCTGAAGATATGGATATGTGTTCACAAATGGAACCTGTGACAGTCATTGAAGTCACTTATGGAAAAGACACAACTGAGGGAGAAGACACTGTAAATCTGCTTCAGTTGGAATCTTCGAGTAGCCAAAAGTGTAAGCACAAAGACTGCTCCGAAGTCACAAAAAAGCAAGGTGATCATGGTTCAAGACATTCTGAAGCTAAAGCAGCAGATAAAGATGTATTTCTGAAACCTGCCTTGCCTCTTTCTGCATCTAAACCTTTAAGACCTTCCACTACTAAAATTTTCTGCTCAAGTAGTACTTCACGAAATGCAAATTTTTCCAAGTCTCTGGAAAATGCTTCAGCACTTTCACTAGCAGTAAAAAATAAATCAAATGGGGTGCAATCTGCTGGGAAAGTATCACAGCCAGCCTCACTGATGTCTCAGAAGCCAGTGAATGAAGCAAAGACTTTGTGCAATGTTCTTTCTCACACTCCAAATAATTTCAACAGGCAAGGTTACAAACTTGCGTTTGGTGAAAGCAATTCGTTTTTAACGTCCTCTCCAGTAAACGTTCTCTCGCCTTCACAGTCGATCTCGGAAAGCTTTGTTAGGGAGATCTTAAAATGGAAGTATGAAATGTTCCTGAGTTTTGATCAGTGTGGACCCCCAGCAAGTCTTTCTCAGTCCATCTCAAGATCTGTGCCTGTCAGATTTCAAGATTACGGAGACTACTTCAGTGTTTTTCTTCCGTTGATTATATTGAACACTTTTGAAACAGTAAGTATGTATTCCAATTGCATGCTTCTAGATTTTTCAAGTTGTTTCTTTACCATGCTGAGTAATAATTAGAATAGTTACATTAACTGACCTCCTTTTGATTTAGAACTAGTTTATAGCGTTCATGTTGGACAGCTCTGTGCCAGGCATTCTTCCTAAACCTCTGTCCTCAGTGGAACTTGTAGACGATTAAGGGACAGAGACATAATTCAGGATAATATTTCTGTCAAGTCCAGAGGTAGGTAGCAAAGGAGGAAATACATATCCATGCAAAAGTAAGAGAGCTTTTCAGAGGAGAGAGTAGCTTAGCTACAGTTTGAAAGATGCTTTTTGGCATTTTCAAGGCAGGTTAATTTTTACTTTTTCAGATTCGAGGAAGGGGCAGGGGGGGACCTGATTATGAAATCTCTTAGGGAAGAAAGAAAATTGAGGGGAATAATTATTCAGCTAACTGGTATTCAGGTTTCCAATATGTGCCAGTGCCAGTTACAAACCTGGCAAGGTAAAGTGATGACCTAAGTGTGCCCTCAGTCCATGATTATTTCAATTAGTGATAAGGATGCTAATAGGAGCTCAAATAAAGGAGAATGGGTCACTGTAGTGGGAAAGGTCAGTGGTAGCCTTTTTTGAATTTTGAATTTCCACCGAGACCAGAATGAATAGGCCCAGCCTTGAGAAGGATATTTCAAGTAAGTGTGAAGATACTGTTGTGGAAACAAGTGTAGTGTGTGATGGGAAAAGGAAGTATATGCACAATGGAGGCAAAACTGGTATTTAACAAGATAATTAAGTGTGAATACTTGTTAATACTTACCAAGGTAACTGGATTTTATAAACTAGAATCCAATCTTCATCTTTAAAGTACCTTCATGCTAAATCTTTTTATATCAATTTTTGATGCCATTTTTATCTTCAGCCATTGTGTTCGGGCTTGATTTGACTAGTATTTCAATAGTATTAGAAATAATTAAATGACAAATGGTCATCAATATTTGTTTGTGCAACAGAATTAAAAAATAGCATTATAAAAATTAGAAGGGGGCCATGAATGTACAAATGTGCTTTACACAAGTGATGTATGTATGGATTGTGATTAAGAGTTGTATAAACCCCTAATAAAGTGATTAAAAAATAAATAAGATACAAGTTAAGAAAAAGAATTAGAAGGTTGATTCCAACTCATAGTGGCGCTGTAGAGTACAATAAAAATGCCTCATAGGGCTTCCAGAGTTCTAATTGTTACATAAATAGACTGCCTTGTCTTTCTTTCACAGAACAGCTGATGAGTTCAAATTTCCTAAAAGGTCACTTTGTAGTAATTGTTAGATGCTGTTGAGTTAGTTGCAACTAACTTTGCACACTCTGGGCTCCTGTTGGCATCGTTGTATATTGAATCTGAATAAATCAAGCTGGTCCCCCCCCCCCAAAAAAAAAAAAAAGAATAATTAAGTATTGCATTGTCTCTGTGCTGTCCTCGTAGATAACGTTGAGCCCATTGTTGTAGCCAGTCCATTGTATTGAGGGTTTTCTTCTCTTTGCTGACCCTCCATTATACCAAGCATCATCATCTCCAGGGATTGGTTCCTTTGGATAACATATTCAGAGTAAGCAAGGGAAGGTTTACCACACTTGTTTCTAAGGAGCACATTTAGACTTTACTACTTCCTAGGCAAATGTGCTTAATTTTCTAGCCATTCATGGTATATTTAACACCACAATTCAAATGTATCAAGTCTTTGGTTTTATTTACTCATTATTCCTTCAGCTTTTCCATGCACGTGAGGTGATGGAAAATGCCATGTTGGAGCAAGATGCTCAAGCGCTGTGTCGTCAAAGCGACATCTCTGCTTTTGAGGTGTTTGGCAGCAGATTTTCCCAGCGCAGTGTACTGTTTGATTTCTGAAGTGACACGTTTATATTTACTGATTGTAGACCTAAGAAAAATGAAATCTTTGACAACTTCAGTATTTTCAGTGTTGTTTTATTTGAAGTATAATCCAGATGAAAGTGCACCTGATCCCACACATGTTGTTTTCAACATTGTTCATTGAGAAGCCCAGTCCCCACCATGCTGTCAATATCTTATGTTGCTTTTTAATGTCTCTTAGAGAGGTAAGATTCCCCAAAGAACAATCTTCAGATACTTTCCCTCGAATGTACAGATCTTGCCAGGAACTGAGTTTGGGGAGAAGGCTGAGGTGAAAAGTGAGAGGTGGAGAGGGGAGTCCCAGCATTTGGTATATAAACATTAACTTAAATCCCTTATTTTCAGTACCATACCCCTGTCCAAAGCCAGAACCTATAGTATCCTCTTTAAAGAATATGTCTCTTTCTTTGTGCCAGTAAAAGTGAGGGGCACTCTTCCTTCACCAGTCATTGCAGGGGGCATATGTCAGCTTGTTCCCTGGTTTGAGTTCAGCCTCTTGAGCTTGCTAACAAGTTAGTTACAATTTATCTTACCTGCTTTCTTGCTTCAGACATTTTGTTTCTCTTGCCTCATATGTTCTTCTGTTTTCAAAGACTCCTTTGGTGTTTTGAGTTACATGAGAAATTGACCTAGATGATTGCCACGAGTCAGCATCGACTCAACAGCAACAGGATTTTTGCTTTTGAAAATAGTAGGTATAGATCTTTTCAGAAAAATTTGGTTGTTGTAAAATAAGAACCTTGCTTTTTCCAATACTCTAAAGAGGTTTTGTGTAGCAGATTTAGCTAATGTAACTCATCTTTCGATCTCTTGACTGCTGCTTCCATGAGCATTGATTGTGGATCTAAGCAAGACAAAAATCTTGGACAACTTCAATCAGTATGTCGGGCATATAGAAGAAACTGGATTATATGAGAAGAATTTGGCATCAGGATTAGAAGAAGGCTTATTTAACAGCCTGCAATACGGAGATGACACAACTTGCTTGCTGAAAATTAAGAGGACTTAAAGTATACTTGCTGATGGAGGTGAAGCCTTCAGTTTGGATTATAGCTCTCAACTGGTCTAATAGGCAACATCGTGATAAAGAAAATGTGAGATTGAAGTTGTTAAGGATTTCATCTTGCTTGGGTCCCCAGTCAATGCTCATAGAAGCGATCACATGATGGATCCTTGTGTTTGGGTAAATCTGCACAAGACCTCTTTAAAGTATTGAAAAGCGGGGATTTTACTTTGAAGCCTAAAGTGCACCTCATTCAAGCCATGGTCTTTTCCATCCTTTTATACGCATGTGAACGTTTGACATTGAATAAGGAAAACCAAAGCAGAATAGATGCTTTTGAATTATGGTGCTGAAATTATGGTATTGAAAGTACCATGGGCTGCCAAAAAAAATAGTCATATATCTTGGAAATAGTACAGCCAGAGTGCTCCTTAGAGGAGAGGATGGTGAGACTTCGCCTTACGTACTTTGGACATGTCAGGAGAACGATATCATGCTTGGGTAATGTAGAAGGGGGACCAAAAAGAGGAAGGCTCTCCACCAGTGGCTGCAGCAGTGGGTTCAGACATACGAACAGTGGTGAGGCTGGCACAGGACCAGGCAGTGTTTGGTTCTGTTGCACACAGGGTCGCGATGAGTTGGAATGGAACTGATGGGGCCTAGCAACAGCAGCAACATGTTGCAACAAGTAGCAAAAGACTTACAAGATGGTCAATAAAAAAGGAAAGTACATTTACAGCGCAGTACCATTTCTGTAAGTGGCACACGTACATCCAGATAGCACTGACCTTTGTAATGATACTAATCAGGCATAGTAACCTGAGTGCCTAGGGTAGACGTTATAATGGGATTAGGAATCTGGGAGAAAGGAGAAAGGATATCAAATAAGAGTGGCCTTACATACATTTAAGGTCATAGTGCACTTTTACCTGAGATCAAAAAGGAGAAGGGAAAATAGAGCAAGAGAAGCCTTTTTTCCTCCCCTTAACGTGAAACCTAACATGACTATTCATAGTAGTATCCTTTCTACATTTGGGGAAAAGTAGTCTGTCTGTCTTAGAGGGATTTTCAGCATACATTTCTGAGTTTGGGCTTTCACAAAGAATTGGGATGTAGGTACCAAGAGTTTTAAAAGCTGTGAGGTGATAGGTTAGTGAGGAAACCCAAAGATTTACAACAATTTTGGTAGTTTTGGACTTGTGAGATACTCTGGTTGGAAAGTATAGTGCTAACAGGCTGTTCCAACAGCACTTTATGCAATGATGGAAATGTTTTATAGCTATAGTATATAGTAAAGAGAATTTCAAATGTGGTTTATGTGATCAAGGAACTGAATTTTAAATTGAATTTTAATTTAAGTAGCTACAATGGCTGGCTTATGGCTACTGAATCAAATGGCAGTTCTAGACAATTTAATTCAAGGCCACCAGTTAACTCACCTAGGCTTGTAGGTGCTGGTTTTTTGGAGTAGTTTGCTGTCTTGCATGACTCCTACCTAGTGTGTTCGCTGTCTTACTTTTTCACATTGTTTAGGTGGCACAGGAGTGGATCATTTCTCCGGTTAAAGATGTTTTCCATCAGTTGCATTTACGGAAATTTCCTGCTGACTATAAAAAATACTGGGAATTTGTAGGTAAGTTCTTTCTTTCTTTTTCTTTTTTCTTTAACTGTTGGTAAGTTCTTTCTTAATGTAACTTAAAATATATGATCTGATCATTGGTAATTTCTACTAAAGAGGAGACATTATCATTATTTGAACATTGGATAAGTAACCTAAGGTCACTTTGTAATCACTTACAGAATATGTTTAGATTCTTAATTCCTGGTGATAATTACTGGGAGAGTTATGAATATAAAATTCATATCTCATCCCCCACCTCCACCATTCTAATTAGAATAGGAGCCCTAGTGGCACTGTTGGATACTCTGTTGGACTGCTAACTTGACGGCCAGTAGAACAAACCCATCAGCTACTCCTTGAGAGAAAGAGGAAACTATCTGTTCTCACATAGATTTCCAGCCATGGGAACCCTGCCATAGGGCTGCTATGAGTTGGAGTCAACTCAGGAACATTGGGTTTGGTTCCATATTTGGCAAGATCCTACTGCCAGACTTTCTGCTTAGCTTTAAGAATTTTACGTGTCTTAGAGATGGGATCATTTTACCTATACTGTGACTTTTTCATTCATTCAGCAGTTTGTCGTCGTCCCCCCTCCCCAAATATTTTGTTGTACTTTTGGTGGTAGAAGTTTACATAGCAAGATCAATTCCCTTTAAACAGTTTCTGTATACAGTGAACCCTCGTTTATCGCAGTTAATCGGTTCTAGACCCTACTGTGATAAATGAAATTCCGCAAAGTAGGATTCCTTATTTGTAAATCAAATATTTTCGTAGTTAGAGTATAGAGGACATGAAAAAACACCCTTTAGTCACCATTACACTCTTATTACCC